AGAAGAGGATTCAGCCTATTCCACACTCACTGCAGTTGGGGAACCTTTGTGTTATGACTGCACCGCCAGGCTCTTCGGAACAAGCAACCGTTTGAGTGAAGCCAGGAAAGATAGGCTCAACATACAGCTGCTTTGAAACACAAGTATTCAGGGCAGTCTGTTTCTTTCCACACTTTCTCCAGGGAAGGGAAGGCAAGAAGACAACACAGCTACACACACTTCAAAGTGTGTCCTGCTTACACACCGCCCCATAATGCTTAAAGCACTCTCTGGTTTACATTTTTTTAAATTACACAGGCTATACATTGCACCACCATCACTCTGTGAGCAGGGTACGCATCAACCTCGGAAGGATAGAAGGGTGTCAGATCCGTTGGTATTGAATGCTGACTGTGAGCAGACTTTTGGCTGCAATACTACAGGACAGTACTTCAGTATTATTAATCCTCTTATGCAGTTATGAAGCAGCCAAACATCCACCCAGAGTACTGATCCAGTATCATCTACCTAGCATGGTACACATAATACTGCCAACATGTTTCATTTATCTAGAGTAGCAGTGCATCAACAAGAAAATATATTTTAAAAAAATTAAAACAGTAGTGTCGATGAAAATAGAGGAAGGGGTTCTCCATCACCCCTTTCAATGCCACAAGCCACCAAATATGTCACCTCAGATAACACCATCTGCAGCTCTACTTTGGTATAAACTAACTATCTGTATGGGCTACAGAACAGGATAATTAGAAGTGCTCAAAAAAAAAAAGTAGCCCTAGCACTGTGCCAAAAAGGAGCACGACAGCTGTTAAAAGGGGGGAAGAATGAATCGCTCCAACTCAAAGCAAATGTAGACACCATAATTTGATCTGAACCAAACACCATCCAAAGCGATTCAAACTGAGAGCTATATGCCCATCTGGAAATGCTCTTACAAAGCTATCCAGCCAGCTATTTTCAGACACTGTGTGACTATCAGCACTTCATCTGCAAAGATGGAGGGAAACAAACATCCCCCTACATCCCTTCGGCAATTGAAATATGGTACTACCAACAAAGGGACGTGGTGGCACTGTGGGCTAAACCGCAGAAGCCTGTGCTGCAGGGTCAGAAGACCAGCAGTCATAAGATCGAATCCACGCGACGGAGTGAGCTCCCGTCGCTTGTCCCAGCTTCCGCCAACCTAGCGGTTCGCAAGCATGCAAATGCAAGTAGATAAATAGGGACCACCTTGGTGGGAAGGTAACGGCGTTCCGTGTTTAAGTCGCACTGGCCATGTGACCACGGAAAATTGTCTTCGGACAAAACGCCGGCTCTATGGCTTGGAAACGGGGATGAGCGCCGCCCCCTAGAGTCGAACACGACTGGACAACAATTGTCAAGGGGAACCTTTACCTTTTACCTTTACTACCAACACATCTTGCAGGGATTCTTGGAAATCTACAGTTCTCCATCTTGGAAATTTAACTCCAGATCTTGCAGATTCTGCCAGCATGATTTTTGGATCTTTCTGATTCCCCCAACTTTCGTCTGCAACACTTAGTCTAATGAAAAGTCTCATGAGACTCAAAGCCTCACATGTTTATGCCATTTTAGTGATCTAGTAAATGTTCTACCAAACTCTGATTTTAACATGTTATGTCCAGCAACCTTTATATATCATTCAGGTTTCCAAGAAGGCTCAAAGTCCTGCTTAAATGAAGATATTTTCAGCCTTAAGGAGTGCACACGGGAAAGTTGGAAGGAAAGTGCTAATAATATTAATCCTTAATAAGCTAAAACATCTAATTTGATTACATTTGTGTAGAAAGGGGAATGTTTTCAAAAATTAAGTTAATTTAAATTGATGTTTAAATTGGCATTATATTACTGCACTAAATGCCTTACAAGGATGAAGGTGAAAAACCACATCCATTTACTCTTTTTAGTCTCCGCAGATTAACCCACAGAACAAAGCCAGATTTTTAATTATGCAGCTACACAATTGACTTTACTTAATTTGTTTGCCACTGTAAAATTTCCTACTTGCCTGTATATATCATCTTTTTATCCCCAGTGAGCTAAGATACTGTATATACCCCTCTTCCTTCCTTTATTCTAAAACAACCTCAAAGAAAAGTCAGGCTGAGAGAAAGGGAGTGGGACCAGATTCAAGTCCTGCTCTGGCAGGACTTGAATCTGAGTGTGGCCCACATGTCTTGACCATCTTTAAAACAACCCGGCAGGGTAGGGAAGCTGAAAGCACAGCCCGTTTTTCATGGCTTGTATGGAACATATGCAATCTGCTGTGATGAGACAGTGGTGCTAGGAACTGTTTGGATGGCTTTTGGGGGGGGAAGAGATAAGCCAGAAGAAGAAGAAGAAGAAGAGAGAGAAAACCTGAACCTCATGGGGATGAAGAAGTGCAACTTTGAAGATGCTGGGAAGTAAACAAATCAGACTGGAGTGCTGTTTTTCTCAGCTGCCAGAGCAATTTAGCTGGCAGCTCTAAAAAAGAGGGTGAGGATGAAAGAGGGAGCATTCTCAGCTGCCATTCCCAGGCTGTGGAACTCCCTGTCAAGGGATGTTAGGCTGCTCCTCTCCTTGTTGTCACTGGCAACCAATGACCTTTCTATTTGGATGGTATTTTGGGCCAACCAACTGTTTGCTATGGAAGGGGACTTTAAGGAATGTGCTTTTTTTTACAGAAATGCTTTGATATTGCTTCAAGTCTGTTTTAGTATGATAATATGATATGATTGTTTGCTTAATTGTTTTTTTCACATTAGAGCACCTGGTGGGTTGGGTTTTTTTGGGGGGGGTGTATTTGTTTTTCATCTTCTTGTTAGCCACCTTGAGTTTCATATTTGGGAGAAAGGCAGGATGGAGAGAGAGAGAGTGTGTGAGTTTTTAAAAAAAAACAGAAAGGAATGAGAGACAGACATGTGTTCTTCTATGATGGTAGCTGGAGAATACAATGACGCCCACTTCTCTAGCTATGAGTGCCTGAACCAGCATGGGTTGGGCTAAATGACCTTAGAAGTCACCTCCAACTCTGCGAGGCTATGATCATAGGAGTCTATGAACTGAAAAGCATATACCACTATAATGAACAGGCAAGACCATAACTGTTCCAAGGAATAAACATTTACTGCTCCTTAAACCCCACAAGGGACACACAGACTTCTAAGAATAGCTACTTTTCTCAAAAAGAAGCCCCGGTCCCTGAAGAGTATTGCTTTGTCCCCTTCTTAAATCTCTCTAGAGTCTATACTTAAGCTGCCCCCCCCAAATGCCATCCAAACTTTTGCAAATAGGTGATTCTTGCTGACTCTTCATCAAGCACACACTGTCCTATAGATCTCAGCAACTGCATCACATTAAGAAGGTAATAAAGTTGCATCTGGGTGTTCACCCAGGCTGTTAAAATGGAGCATAATCGGGTTTAACATTCACAGAAAATTGGTAAAGATCTTTTTAAAAGAACCAAGTGAAGTGGATTTTGATGAACAGAGGACCACTCTGCCTCATTTCTCCTTTTAATGTAAAACTGTACATTATCCACTCCAGGTGAATAGAAATTGTATACAATCATTAATTACTATCCCAGGTTTTTGAAGGGAAGCCAACATGTTTCAGTTGGGCATTCAAAGCAGTTTCCTCTTTTCTTGTTTACTGACTGCTAAGGTCTGTGTTTAAGCTATGAAATCAGTGGATTGACATGGCATCGATACACACCATCTCACACTTGTTTAACCATGCTATAGCTTAAGCTCACACTTGTTTAACCTCAGAAATCATATTGTTTGAGCGTACCCCCTCCCTGAAATCAGCACCAGATGGGTCTCCTTCCTACATGCTAGTTTACTATTTGCAAATGTTTTGTGAGTATTTCCATGAGAGCTGTTCTAAAATCATCAGTCAGCAATCCCAGATCATGCCCATGTGAACCTAATTTGCACCATCGGTGGGTACACCCTGGCAAGAGGTATGCCTTTAAGAGTACAGTGACTGGCAAATATCACCTGGGGTCCTGCGATCTAATTTAGGCACACGAGTACAGAGACATCCATGACAGCATCTTCAGCACACAGACAAAACAACCACCAAGCTGTATATACACACCAGGAATGACAAGCTTCATCGGAACACTAGAGCAACCAATAGCTGGGCACTTGAACTCAGAACATTATGCCTGATCTAATTTATGGATGTCTGGGATAAAAATACCACCAAACACAAATTCTTGGGGAAAGTGGAGAAGGTCTGGATGAATAGACTTGGCACCCTGGCACTTCATGGCCATAGTCAAGAAGACACTTGACATCATCCACCCTCTTTTCTACAATGTCATATTGGATACATAACTTTTACTCAAAGCAATTACAGAAGCCAAAATGTCTTGCCCAAAACTGGAACTACAACAGCACACTGCCTCCTTCCCCTAGTCTGCGGCTATCATTTCTACACACTTTCCTGTCCTCTGAAGCTGAAGCCAAGGAAGAAAAAAACCATCTACTTGTTTGCAGCCAGGGCCTGGTGTGAACCTCAAAGGTGAGAGGCCAAGTGGAACTTATGGTGGGAATAAATGACTCAGAGACACATAGCAAAGAGACAATTTTCTTGAGGGTTGGGCTAGATGGTCCACAGCTCGACCACACAATTGCTGTTTGATTTGCCAAGGCCCTTGAGGCAAGACATTGTTGTGAGGCACTGGACTCCACCTGGAGCATCTTCTGCAGAACCATGTGACTTCTTGTTAATGCACCCACCTGAATGTGCCAGAAACCATGAGCTCTCAAGCTGAAAGTAGCTGTCATCGTCAAATTGTGCTACTTTTCAAAAGCCATGAACAAAGCGAGAAACTCAACAAGCAAGTCCAGCTCAAGTGGCTGGCCTTATCTCTCCCATTCTCCAACAACAGTGCCTCCTTTTAAGTGCTTCCCCAGTTTTGGAGTGGAGCTGGAGCCCTTGCTGTGCATCACTGGAAGAGGCAGCAATCTGGAAAAAAAAACAACACTCACCCGGGGAGGATTTGGGAGGCCTCTTCGTCTTGGAGAGAGGTGGCTCATCTTTGATGTTGCCAGAGGATTTTGCAGTAGTCCCCAGTCGTTCATCAGAGTCGGCGGAGAAGTGAAACTGGATGGTCCCAGACTCCACCTGCTTGACCTGGAATTTAAAAGGAAGGAGTGGAGGTAGCAAAAAAATGTTCTGCTTTCATCTCTCTTCACAGCTGCACTAGAGGACTGTATCCGCAGCTTGCAAGAATTATGCACTTTTTAAAAATCACTTCTTTTGTTTTGCATAATTCATTCTGTTTTTCTCAAGAGGAAGTAATACCATCAAGTGGTGGTCCAAGGAGAGAGGGGCCCTTCCACCCATCTCTCTCCTCTCCACATGGTTTGACGCTGGGAAGTAGTCCTGCAAATACCGAAGGGATCCCTTATTCGAGCCATTGGATGTCTAATTTGGCTACTGCCTCTGTGTAGTTTCTGAGATTTCATCAAAGTGCCTATACCATGAGGACTGGAAACCTGACTCTTTATTTAGCTGGTTTCCTGCACTACTAATAAATCAACCAACACACTCTGATTGCCTAGTGGAAAAAGAAAGGGAAAGTTGTAGGGGGAGACCCCCCCCCCAAAAAAAGGCCAGACCAGAGTAGTATGATTGAGTACCAGCCAGACATGCTGGCACATGCTACAATAACATGCATCACATGGAATGGCATGCTTGGCAGTGCCCCTTCTGTGGTATAAAATTCAACACTTAGGATGGGTGACTTCCAGACGTTCATGGGAAGCACCCGCCTGCTCCCATGTCCTCCAGGAACCACAAATATTTGTAAGCACTTTAAATCTCAAAAGGCCCCTATCTACAGGTTAGGAATGTATGCTCCCTAACACAGGGTAACATTATCCCCCTACCATCATCTCTGAGAGGGCACAAATGGCCTTCTTCAGCAATACCTTTTTCAATATTTATTTTTAACAGTGGTGGGAGGCTGGGAGTTGTATTTGGGACCATAACCGCCTTTGCTCACCCCTGCTCTAAAGAGCCTGCACCATGGATATCAGCCACACATAGTACTCTTTTTCTGAACAGCACCAGTTTTACACACATTCATTCATAAATCTCCTCATTGGCAAAATATTTGGCAATGTATCCTTCATTTTTGTATTTCTATTTGTTTCCCACTTGCGGATGGCCAAGTGTCTAGCTCTGATGATGCAAAGGTAAGGGCAAAACTAGACTACAGATAACCTATAGATAGAAGAAGGAATTCTTTAACTGATGGAAAGTGTGCTTGTCACATCAGAAGCTTTTCCCAGATCCCATAATTTGCAGATTAGGTGTTTGTGTCTTGTGAGTTGGCCTTCGGGAGCTAAGCACAGGCTTCATTTGAAGTCTAACTTCTCAGACACAAAGGTGCACCTAGATCATGTCACTGGAACAGCAACATGATTTCAGCTCTAACGATGGGTTAACAATCATAGCCCTTGGAGTTGACTGTATCTTGCAAATTTCTGACATCAATGAGAGAGAGAGAGGATTTTGACAGAGATGAAAAGCCACCGACAGACCTACTTATTGCATGGAAACTAACTACAGCAAGCCGGTGTCAGAAAAACCCAGGAAAATGAAACGGCCAAAGGCTTCCAAGGACCACTAGTTTTGACCATGGCTGCAGGAGCAGGCCAAAGTTTTTAATTTAATTCAGCTTGTCAGTTTCAAATACCAGGTATCTGGCAAGATGTTGCTTTCACACTTAAGTTCCTAAAAGACAGGTTTAGTATCACATTCTTACCTCTTCGGAGCTCATGGTGGCTGGGGGTGTCTTGTAGACCAGAACATGGTAGGGATTATGTTGGGCTCCTCCTTGCAATGGAAGGACCACATCCACGGAACCTGCCACCAGCCCTGGGTTCCAAACCACCCAGCGAACGGAATGCATATAAGCTGGCGTTGTCAGAGATGTAACTGATGGTGTCTGAAGGGGGGAAAGAGGGGGAAACAGACACAAAAACAAAGACATCACCTGATTAATTCAGTGCTAGTTGCTGGAGGGGTTTTTTGACAATTTTACAATCACTCTTCAGTGGAGCCATGAAATGCCGTCCAGGGCATGATCTCTCCTGCTGGTGGGCTTAATGGTGAAGCAAATGCTTGGCTGCTGTGAGAACAGACTGGCTGCTTACACATCCTCAAAAAAGCCAAACATCTCTCTCTCTCTCTCACACACACACACACACACACACACACACACACACACATGGATGAAAGAGGACATTGGTTTGCATAAAATGGTATCTGCTAACTTACAGGTACGGGTGCAAAAGTAAAAATGATTTTTACCATTTCAACAGAATCAGAACACCTCTCATCTCATTCTGTCAGGGCAGACTGTGACCCAGGGTGCCAACTTCCGGGTCTCTAATCTTTGTACCACAGTCGTTTCCTTTCCTTTTTAGAAACCAAGGACACACACAGCAGCTGATTGATTTTTTTAAAGGTGTAAGCAAGCCAGAGGTTGGGAGTTCAATTCCCCACTTGTGCCTCCTTGACAAGGCCTGGACTTGACAATCTATAGGGTCACTTCCAGCTCTGCAGCTCTGAGATGATGATAATGATGATTCCTCCAATGCTTCTAATCTCTAGAATTCCATGGAACAAGGCAGTAGCTATTGCCATTTCATGCAGTTTGCATCATTTGTGCAAAATTAGCTTAATTTGCACAAAAAACATTCTTTTCCTGTTCTCTGCTTTCATTGGGGACTCTACAAAACATTTCCACCTTCCCTGATGGGACAAGGAGAATAATTTTACAGTTCTGCCTCATTCTGTATGATCAAGAGACAAAAGAGAACTTGTATCCCTAGTTCTTGCCAAGGATAAAGGTGTATAAGATGGAGACAATACCTCTTAGTATGGTCACTGGCACAGGTCAGTTTATTTTGGCACGATTCTTTGGTTACATAAATTAAACCTGTGGCTGAAGGTGCTCCTGCTAGGTTTTTGCTGCTTTAAAAACCAGTTGTACTTTTTAAGAACAGCCTTCACGCTTGGCTTGTAAGCATTACAATTAGATGGACATTTGTATTCATCTGTCAGGGGTGGCAAATACGAGTATCAGCATCACAAGTGCCTGGGCTGTTTGGACCCTCCCCCCAGAACTGCCTGGTCCACTTCCTGCCTGCCACACAGCCATTGTTTTTCATGACACACCAGTGGTTCCCTGCCTCCCTGCACAGCCAACCACTCCAGCCAGGGGGAGAGGATGATGAGTATCCAATATAAAATTACAATCTGAATCCCTAGACACACTTCCTTGGGCATGAATCCAACTGATAACCCCAATGAGAGCAGACTCACTGAATGGAGTACGATTTACATAACTATTGAATCACCATTCCGTAACTCCCCTACAGGGTCCATTCTTGAGATTAGCAACTGGATATAAGCCTTGGAAGTTAATTCCAATTCCAAAAGGATTTACTTCAGTTATCATGCACAGAATTTCACAGTTGATATGTAACAGAGATGCACATAATAATTTGTTAGCTCCATTGAAGATCTTAATGGATAGAAAGGTTTATGCTAAATAAAGAAATATACACAGAACCATGTATATGCTTCCTATATCCTGCTAGAATACATGCACATTTTATAGCAGTTTGGCAGGAAAAAAGGACAGGTCATTGTTTCTCTCTCTCTCTCTCTCTCTCTCTCTCAGTCTTTCAAGACTTACCAACTCAAATATCGGCCCAGGAATAAGCTCTTACAACCAGGATTCTGTCTTCTTTCTTTTTGTTTCCCACTTTTTGTTTCTGCCACTGTAGCTCTGAGGATGACCTGAGGAAATTGTTCAGTTTCTTTGGGACAGACTGAGAAGTCATCCCAAACTGGACAACACTGACAGTCTGCCACTCACAATCTTTTGGCAGACACACTCCTCCTCCAAGCAAGGAAAGGTCCTGGGCAGAGGCTCAAACAGCCCCCCCCCCTTCAAATGTGTCTCTTCCCAAAATGGACCATCTGGGAAGGTCTCCCAGGAAAGTCTAACAAACTCATACTTCCACTTCTGAGTCAGTGTTGCAGTTCTTCTCATGGTTCCATGTAAACTGCTCATTACGAAAGCTTCAAAGGCCATCAACCTCGAGATTATCTGCCCTCCAGAAAGGGGAGGGCAGGGGTTAATTTGGTTCAAATTAAAGCCACAGACAGCTGGGCATTAGGGCCGTGGATGGTACTTGTCCATGCGTTGGAGGAATGCTAATCTGGCTGTCTGCTCCTCAAAGAAGTGGGTACATATTTGTTCTCTGAGCTGGTTTACAGCAGCTCTGGATACTGAGCATTTCATTGGCCTGCACTCACTGGGTGCTGGTCACGCTAAGAAAGCCATGGCCTCCTCTTACAATTCATCCACTTTCCCAGGGTGAATACTGGGGTGGGCCATGTGTAGCCAAGGGCCCTGTGCACCCCAACCCCCATTCCAACCTGTTCTGCAGCCTCATCTCCCTAAGGTCGAAGAAATCTGGGGGGGGGGGGGGTTAATGAAA